ATCCAGCCTGCGGAGGCTCTGGTGTTCCCTTGCCCGCAGGCCAATTAGGGCTGGGGGCGGGGGAGCGCCCGAAGTCTTCTCTGCTCTGCCCCCGTCCTGGGAGCAGTGCACGGCGCTTCAAAGTGGGGGCAGAGCGGAGAAGGCTTTGCACGCTCCCCCACCCCCAAGCCTTAATTGGTCTGAAGAGCTGCATAAAGCTTCCTTCACCCTGCCATGGCCCTGTGAGGAGCCTGAGGCACTTCAAAGTGCCACGTGCTCTTCGCAGGGCGGGAGGAGGCTTCCCATACTCCCCTGCCTCCAGGACCTGATTGGCCTGGGAGTGGGGGAGCATGCCAAGCCTCTTCCAGGGCATGGGTGCCTAGTGGGAAGGGAGGGCAAAGGGGCTGAGTGTGGGTAGCCCTGCCCCTTCCTGTTTAGGCCACTCCCCTTCCTGTTTAGGCTACTCCCCTTCCGGGGGTGGCCCCTGGGCAAAAATTTGCCCATCCCTGATTTAGGCCTTGTCTATGTAGTGACACCAAGGGCTTGTCAATATGAACCATTAGACTGTGGCAAGCTGGGGGTGAGAATCTGTCCCCCTCTTTAGCCTACAGTGGTTCAGTTGTCCATATGCATCCTAAACTTAAAAAACAACGAAAGCTCATGATACCATCTACATGTTTTGTTAATCTATAATGTGCTACCAGACCATTTGTTGTTTTTTAAGTTTATCCTGTACAGACTAACTCAGGGTATGTCTACACTACCACCCTAGTTCTAACTAGGGTGGTAATGTAGGCAACCGGAGTTGCAAATGAAGCCCGGGATTTGAATTTCCCCGGCTTCATTTGCATAAAGCTGGGTGCCGCCATTTTTAAATGTCCACTCGTGCGGACTCCATGCCGCATGGCTACATGCAGCACGGACTAGGTAGTTTGGACTAGGCTTCCTAGTCCAAACTACCGTTACTCCTCGTGGCGCCCAGTTTATGCAAATGAAGCCTGGGAAATTCAAATCCCGGGCTTCATTTGCAAGTGCGGTATGCCTACATTACTCCGCTAGTTCGAACTAGTGGGGTAGTGTAGACATACCCCTAGAGAGGTACTCCCAGTAGTTTCTAAGTTACCCTGGGTGGTTGTTTCAGGAAGACTTATTGAAGAGGTGAATTTGGTTCCATCATTGACACTGAGACATCCCTTTTCAGGGTATGTCTACACTACCACCCTAGTTCGAACTAGGGTGGTAGTGTAGACATACCCTCGGCTACCCCCTGAAGCATATGCATCCTTTTGATGTAGGTTAACAGTTAGTTAATCTGTTCTGAGCTAGTCCCATTCCAAAGAGGACTAGCTCAAAGGAAGGTAACAAACTGTTAACATGCCACAGCAGGGTGCGCATAGGGGTAATTAGCTCCCAGCTGGATAGTGTGGAGGTAGATTCACATCCCAGCTTGCAATGATCTAAATTGTTCTATAGTCAAGCCCATAGGAAAATTAATCAGAATTAACTAAAGAAGCGATTCACTCTGGAAGTGAATGAAAATAAACTAAATTAAAGCCTTTTAATTGTGCCTGAGAATATCTACAGATGTTTATTGCAGTTTAACGAATCCACTTTAAATTCAGCACCTTTAGTTAATTCAGAATAACTTTACTGAATGTCCCCATGAAAAGGAACACATATATATTTACCTGAGAATACCAGTTTCCATATTTTGAAAACAAATACATTTTTAGTCCTCGGAGCTGCAGAAAAAAGCTTGAAGCTCGAACATTATATGCCCCAACTACAGGAAGCAAAGAAAAAGAAGCAAAATTTCAATCTAATGTTTTTAAGCCAAATTAACAGGACCTTTTTTTTTTTGAACTCATGATATTTGAATGCTTGGGATTGCCAGTGTTGTAGTTTCTACTGACATATGTGTATATTTGGATGTACTCCATTGACTCTAAATTCACATCAGTGTAATATGGCACCAGACCAACACCACCCTTTTTACCTGTGTTTTTATTGGTGTTTAGTTGTGTCTGTCCCTCCTCTTAAGGTGTTTTAGCAGGTTATGTGTCCCCTCCCTTTTGGGGTTCTGTATTTTACTTTATATAGTTATTTATTGTGTTATAAAAATTTTGTAAGCCGCCTCAAGTATTTAAAATAGAGAGGCGGGGTAAAAATATTTTAAATAAATAAACAAACAATAGAAAGTAGAATTTAACACAGGAGTAAGTCTTCTATTTACTGTTCAAATAATGGGAGCTAGGCAATGGGTGAACAAATAACAATGAAATGTATAGTGTTATATCTTCAGATGGGGTAAAATATTATAGTTTCAATAACTTTAACTGAGCTACAATGATTTCTACAATTTGAGGATCTGGCCTATGTTAAATATATGGAAAAATGTTTTAAGCACAATTTTTATTTAATGACATTCTGACAAGCGTAACATCTCAGCAAATGAAGTTGTTAGAGAGAATGTAATGCCTAAATCATATTTTTCCATATGAAAATTAAAGTTAGAGGGCCTCTCTTGCTTGGACAATCATACAAAAGATGGCAGATGTATTTTATAGCATAGCTATTTGATTGCATTCATAAATCCAGCAGTTATATCCACTTGCAGTTATTTGGGGGAGAGAAGGGAAACAGGAGGATAAGATGAGCCATGATGAACATCAAGGGTCTTGGAGCAGCACTTCATCTGGTATAAATTTGTCATAAATCTACAGAAGTCAATTCCCCTAATAGCAGCAATACAGAATCATGCGCCAACTCCAGCTCTGTACTTAATACATGCCCTTATCTTTGAATTGTATCCAAATAAGGTGAACATATAATTCTCTTTGTTTACATGCTTTGAAGGTCTGTGACTTACAGTATATTCATCAGAATATAATCGATGTATATAATGGCCCAGAAAACATATTTAGAGAGATACTATGACAAATTGATTTTTACACCATTCACAAAACTCCTGTGCTATTTTGTCTTCGTTTAAACTACTATTTCTAGTTATCATATGACATTAACCTGGAGAGTCTGATCATACTTCCACTGAAGTCAACATAAGTTTTGCCATTGACATGAAAGGGTAAGACTATTAGGTCCTCAGTGGGGCCTTAATTTACCACTTGTAACACTATATTTAGTCTGTAGATAAAATATAGTAAACATACTAAATAAACTTTATTTTTCTGTGTGTGCATGAATGATCAGGGGCTTTTGGTTACTCCTGAAGACAATGAAAACCAAGATAGTTGCACACCAGCATTTTGGAAATTAGTCGTCTATCAGTCCAAAGTGATTATACACTTTGTTTTCCTCCTAACTTATTTTATTAGTGATTGTTTAGCATTCTTACCCCCACATGATGCCTTTAAGACTCAAGTTTTCACTGGATCTGCCAATATGAAATCAATTATGCATCAGCACTAACAAAATCCAAGACAAAAAGAAATGCCATGCTGCGATCGTGGTTAATTCATTGATTCTTCTGTATAGTTCTATTGAACCCTTTATGCAATGCAGATAATTTCTGGCTTGCATACAAATACAGCGAAATGCCAGAACTAAATCCAATCAAAAAGCTTAAGAGAAAGAATCAACGTCAGCCGCGTATGTGATTCAAGTAGTCCGAATTCTTTGAAGACCTTAGAGGGACATCTGAATCACATATTGTTATCATTTCAAGTGGAAAAGAGGTATAACACTATTTGGAGAAAGTCCCTTAGTTTACTAAATAATAACAACAACAAAGCCAAAATGATTGCTGAAGTTGACAAAATAGCCAACTAACAAACCGCAGCAGGAAAATGCTCATTAATTTAATTTATGTGGGAGTAAGTTTCCAAAATAATGACCAAATTATTTAATGTTCACTTACATTAAAAAGCAGTATTCCATAACAAATCATTACTAGAAAAGGGGGGATGGGGGAAAGGCCTATACTTTGAATTAATACACAGAAGAAAACAAGTTACTAGGATAAAAAAAAAAAACCCCACCATGATATTTGACAGTTTCCTAACAATTCCAGTTCTGTTTTGTCTCTTCAGAATATTTCAGTGCAACTTGCTAGAGAAATCTCAGCAATTTCTATAAAGTGGTATGTAAAGCTGTAGCGTGTTTATTTGTTAGGCTTATTTTCACCCTGTTTTTATTGCATATCGATATGTATTTGGGGTTCAGTTAACCAAAATATACAGTAAGAATCAATTTTTAATATATTTAATAACAATAGCATTAACTCTGATACTGTCCTATAGAAGAATATGTTCAACTATCTTAATTCCATGCTCTGTAATTCTTCAGTAGATATAGTATGCAATATATGGCTTACTGAGATACTTTCAAACAAAATGTGTTTCAATCTGCTTTATTTCCTTACACAAAGTCAGCACAGCCTTCTCTGCATATAAACTACATCTCTAAGACTATATATGAGTAGTATACATCTGTAGTTTTAATAAAAAATGAATGGGCAGAAGAAACATCGATTTCATAGTATTTTTCGCCAATCAAATAGTTTTTCTTAAAAAGTTTGCAAACATATTCATGTTCAGTGGGAAGGCAATAAATACAGGCTTTTCATATTTTGGCTGAAATTCCAAATACTAATATCCTAATTGTATTGGATATCTGCTCCAATGAACAATATAAGTCATTTGGTTTCTCATTGTCTATTTTTGGGGAAAACAGATAAATATATCTTTTAAAAACAACAAAACTCTATTCCATAAAGCATAATAATCAGAAATACTTCAAAATGTTTCTTACATTTGTGAGTATGTTTCAGCTTCAAAAAGTGTTTGTGGCCTTCCTTCAAGCTATAAAATGTGGGACATCATCTTACTTTCAGAAAGCTAGCTGCTGTACTGTTACTATAAAGGAGCAACTAAAATTGTATTCACAGTAGTTGCATTATGTGAATTTCTGAACAGGAAAAAGTCATGAGGTATCAGCTATAATCCTCCATATTGGCTGACAGAAAAGAAAAAAATATACTGTCATGCTTGGTTTACCTCAATCATTTATTTCTGAACTAATAAAAGTAAACAATTACCGGATACTGTATATATAGATATATAGATATGGCCACCATTAAATTATAGTAGAAAATTATTTTGATTTTGATAAAATTAAGAAAAGCACATGAAATCATATTTTGTGTATATCTTGTTTTATAGCCATCCATGTTTTTGTTTGTTTTGTTTTGTTTTGTTTCATTAACATAGCAAAATACAATCTTCCTATTAAACAATAATTATCAGAGGGCAGACAATTTTTTTATTATTTTACATTGGCAGGTCACAGTCTAAAAGCACAACCACATCAGGCAGAAATTGCACATAGACCATCCTGGATTTTGAAGACTTTAATCTTTATGCTTCTAACAGAAATGTTCCTTTTAAAACTGGGCATGGTAACCTATATTATATTAAATGCTAGTGGATTTTTTATTAGTTTATCTAAAGAAAATGCCTGAATATGTAGTGTTTTTGTTTTGTTTTCTATGTCACTTCTTATGTTTGTACTTGAAGTTTTTTAACACACTTTGAAGGGTAGTTTTCTAGTAATCAGTTTATGAAAGTTTAATCACTCTCACAGTATGAACCAGATAAGTTTCATTTCATTGAGTACTGCATATTTATCTGTTCCTTGACTTTTAAAAATTTGATTTATATATTTTTAATTCTTACTTATAGCTGAAAAATTATGGCAAGTTAGTGGGTAGTGGTAATTAATGTAGCACTGTGACATCATACATTCACAATGTCAAGATTTTTATAAGGAACTATTTTAGAAAGGACTGGCCTACAAATATGCAGTTGCATTATCTGTAGAAGGCATAGCCATGTCTTCAAAAACCAGACTAGTCTTAAGAAATATGACTCTTTATTTGAGACAGTTACCATTACTTCATTAAAAAATGACAAAACAGCAATAAACATTTTAGCTCTTTAATGAGCAAAGATCAGGTCTCTTAGCCTTGGAATAATATTCGTTATCCAGATTATCTTTATTTCACTCAGTGACCATTAATATGGCCAAAAAGTACAAAGTAATTTTCCATCAAGTAGTATACAATTTTTTGAGTGTGTAATAAGCTTTCATTCTTGAAAAAGAGTAACTGAAAAGAAATGTTTCTGTTACTGCAGTTAGTTTGTCAGAGAGAGTTCTTTGCATTATCTTACAAACTATCAAAATTGCTAGTAATTTGAAAAAATGTAAAAAAAAATCACATAACTGTAGTCTAATAGAAATATAGTACAGGTAAGAGACAGTATTTATCAGGGATGTGCTCTTAAGTCCATCTCATTTTTTATATAAATGTACATCTGATTCCATATCGAAACATTAATAGGACTGTGATATACCGTTTCTGGAAAATAACAGGGGAATGAAGAGTTTATTGTGATTTTAGAACATTCATTTAAAATCACACAAACAAAATGTAAGATTCAGATTAAAAATTTCCATTTGTTGTCTCACTCCATCCTTATGGACTCGCTCGGTCTACATTTGCCTTTTATAGATATCTCATCCAGTGAATTCACTTGAATGGCATGGATAATGTATAGCAAAAAGGGAAATAACTTTACATTAAAATATTATCAGTAAACTTTGTCACATGCACCATGAGTTAAAACAATAACAGAGCTGTAATCAGAATGGTAATGTTGGAGCATTTTTATACTGCAAAATACCCTTCCAAGGAAATCTTTGGACACACTTCATCTTACCAATATGAACTAAATATATTGTAATTAAACCATAGCAAATTATAAATCCATCATCAGAGGTTCCATTAAAGTTGTAGTTCTATAAATTATTTAGGTGGAAATGAAAGAGAACATTAAAAACACAGAAATATATTTTTCCCTCTGGGATTCACTCAGCGAGTGTTCACCACTATATACCTAGAATACCATCAAATACCTTAAAGAACTACCGTAATTCCTTCTAATACTGAAGCTACTGTGAATTATTTTACTGTAATTACTTTTGCCCCTTTAAAAAAATCTTCCTTAAGTTATGCCAATTGATGGAGGAAGCTTCTACTAAAAACTCCAATGGGATGAGAAGAATTTTAATTACGGCTTAATCAGCAGCACAGCCACCAAGCATATAAATTATCATGCACATCGTGCTAAAAATATCCAGTTTCCTTTATTCCCACAACTTTTATACTGACAGCACTTATGTGATAATGTTATACCTGCCAGGCATTAAAACTTCATTGTTTGACTGGCAGATTTCAGCATGAGCCCCTTACTAAGGCCTTAACAGCATTGGTGCTTTGTGCACTTATCCAAATATGTCAATATGGACTACACAATAAAACAGTTCCAAATAAAAATTGGTGAAAATTATCTGACATTCCATTAGTGTGTCCCTTGTGCATATTTATAGATTTTTTTTTGAAAAAAAAATTCAGTCAGAGTTCTTTTCTGTTTGTGTTGCACATGCCTAATTCCATTATGTAACTTAAATCTTCAAAAAATTAATAGTTGAATGTGAATGAAAAAGCATCATTCAGGACAATTGCTTCGAGCAATTGCAAAGTTTATTTTAAGTTCAGTTGTCTATATGTACAATTCATTTTTTTCAAAACCCCAAAAGTTCTTGATATGTATATTCACATAATATTTCTCCATATTTAAATAGTAAGAGTCAAGTAGGTTGAAAGCCAAGTAATCTTCAGTAATGTCACCTACTGCAATCCATCAAAAAAAATAAAGTTTGTTTTATCTTGTCTGGCTATACCCTGGTTGTTGAATGTGAATGGGGGTGGGGATGAGGGTGGGGCAGAGTATTATTCTGTCCTCCAGTAAAGGTATTGAAGGTGTGTAGGGGCTGAATCCCTGGTATAGTGTTGGGAATCATTGTAATGGTGTTGGGTGTCATTAAGGGAATGTCATCAGGAGACCTTCTCATAGCTAGTGTGTAATCTGGGGGACAGGCGGTCCGAAGAACCACCTCATGTGGATGGATGGACTCACATTCATGATCCAAGTCAGTGTGCTTCATCTGGAGGGACATTATCTCCTCTTCTTGTGCATGGGCAAGATCATTGGTAGTAGTACGCTGAGGGCTACATCTCCTATGAACATCATGTCTCCTCTTGTCCTTTTTGTAGTACAATGCTGCAAAGGCCAAAATGTTTAGGAATAGCAAAGACGCTCCAACTGCAATAGTAACACTCAGCTCTGTGGAATAGTCCCTTTGATCCACTGAAAATGGACTTGGCTGTTGTTTGGGATCATCTTGTTTGGCTGTAGGAAAGGCTGAAGTAACAGGTACAGAATTTTTTCTTGTTGGTCTGAAAGTAATATCAGTTGATGGCACTTTAGTTGTGGTCGAGGTATACTGTGAAATGTCGTTAAGATTGTGCAGATGAGGTACCAGCTCCAGCCAGAGATTCACTTTATTAGCCCTGTAATGTTCCTTCACGCGTGGTTTTAATCCAATGTGAAGATACAGTTGGTCTTTTTGAGAATATCTGGTCCATGCTACTTCCTCAAAACGATTGGGTTTGGTATGAATGAATTTTGTATCTTGTGGGACAGGTTGATTTGGGTCACTAGAATATAAAAAAGATGAGATATAAAGTCTGCATTTCAAAAGCAACTATAAAATTAAGATTTGGTATTGCATTTTAACACTTATTTGGAAGGGAAGAGGGGAAAGTCAGTGAATATAGTGTCTATGGAATTGCAGGCCTACTAGCAATTAGAGCCAATACAATGCAAATGGGCATTGCAAGCTTCCCCCATGCCCTTCGTACTCCAACCCCAATTAGCATCTAACATCCCAGTACTTTTGTCTTGAGGAAAGATTGGCAACAACATGACAGTATTACTAGTGATATGGATTAATGCCTACTAGGCTGTGGTGTCCAACCAGTTCAGAATTAGCCACATTCAACCAAACAAATACCCACATTGTTCAAGCCAACTAGCCACACTCAACTTGCCAAATAGCCACATGTGGCTAGTGGCTAGTATGTTAGACACCACAGTGAGAGTAGTAGGGCAGGTCAAAAAGCTTATTTTTGAGGGGGGTTGCAAAGTTTATTTTTATTTGTAATTTAAATCATAGCCTCTGAATTCGGGTCTTCAGAGGTGAAAGGGCAGTGTGCTAACTCAGCACAGCACAGGGGCATATCCACGGGTAGGCCTCTGCATCCAGCCCACCCATCCCCATCAGCCCACCCAGTGCTCCTGCCAGGGAGTAGGGCCAAATATCAGGGTTTACTCCACTCTGCCAGGTGCTGCAGCTGGTGAATGGGGTCAGGATGCTGGGGCTTAACCCCACACCCCTACATTGCCCACCCACCCAAAGTCAATGCTCATTCAAGTGGTCCCTTCTGGCTACACCACTGGTAGAACACACATTGATTGAAAGCCCAATTGAGTAATTGAATGTGGAGACGTAATATGAGGACAGTCATCGGCACCCCTCAAGCATTAGTCTATCTTACATCCATAAATGCCTGTACATTTGAATAAGTGGATATCATTTTAAGACTCAGCTTTCCACATGCTGTGATGTTGGTGGCATTTTGCACTCTAGCCAACCAAAATACCAAAGTACAGTCAAGTATTGTGTTTAGTCACATGACGATCTGTTTTTAATGATGTACTTTATAACTGCTATACGTCATGTCAGTGTGTTCCTTAGTCACTGTAATACACATTACAATTTCTTACACAGTCATTAGACTTAAATAATTGAAAGTGTTATCAGTTCCAGCAGAATTCCCCATATAAAGTCCAGAGAGTCTCTCTCAAAGCATCAGAATCTTACAAAGCAGAATTTTAAGGACTTTTTAAGGCCAGCTACAGATCTATGAGAAAGCTGAACATTAGAATGAAAAAGATAAAACCATCAAGGAAGCTGCATTTGAAAGGCCTTCCTTTTTATGTACAAACTATTTAACACAGTGTTATGTACAAAATAGCCACAGGGACAATTTTCCCATGTGCTGACAGAATGCACAATCTTTAATTGAACTGAGAGGAATTAAAAACATACAACTCCCAGCCTAAACCTACAATCTTTATTCACATGAATACTTCTCCATGGACCATGCATTTCCCAAATTAGTCCATAAGAAAAGATGGCAGGATCAGGTCACAATTACTCTCTATCTAATACTCACCCAGTTTTTGCAAAGTTTGTCCAGTATGTCATCACCACTGCGCTTAGCATGACATCATTTTTGGAGAAATTACAGGGAAATAATTCAGTAGGACCAATCATCGGGATTCCCAGTACATAAGGAACCTCATCCCCATGGGCTGCATCTGCCCAAGCAGGTACCTGATCTGTTTGGCAATGATGGTAAAAGGCATAGAAGTATGTAGGCGATCCAAAATTTGAGTGAAGATCTGCTGTAGCCACTGCTGGTGCAACCCACTGGTGATCAGTAAACAAAGCTAGCAGTGTTTTCCTTCTTGTCTCCGGATTGTGTCGGTCTGCCCAGTCAGTATACATAAATTTAATAGTTTCTCTCAATATATCTTTGCCTTCAGGGTATCCATACAAGTTATCGACAAAATTGGAAACAGCAAAGTCAAAATCACTAGCTGATATTCCATCTTCGCTATCAACTATATTTTCAACAAATTTTAAACCTTCTCCTTGGTTAACTCCCAACATTATGTCATAGTTGAGAAATTCTCCTTGTTCCATCAATATCTGAGGATCATCTGGTATCACATCACCATCAATTACTGGTCCAAAGGCTATATGGTATCTTGCTGGTTGAATATCCTGGTCCACAAGTTCTCTATAAGGCTTCTTCTGTAGACACTCTACTAATTCTACAGTGTCTGACATGTTGCAACCAACTTTTGTAGCCAACATCCTGGCATATTTTGCAGGTTGGAAACTAACTGCCCAGCTGGAGAGAGCTGTTCCGCTTTGAGCTATTGCTCTTTGAAAAAGTCCTGTGGAGGGAAAAATATTTTTAAAGTACCGAGGTGACCTTTATAAGCATGTAGCTGGTTAATGTTTAGATTAGGTTTGTGGGACAACAGGAAACCTTTTATTGTTATTTTTTAAAAATCACTAATAAATAAGTACAGAAGGTAAAATCTGCGTGTTGCTGTAGCCACATTGATTGTGCATACACAAAAAAAGCTCTGATGTCCATAAATCCTACATGGGTAGATAAGTAAAACTGATGCAAATGCCAATGCATAGCAACTGAGGCTCTGGAAACTGAGAGAGTGGGGAGAAGTTGCCTGATGCCATATCTCAGTCAAGATAACACTGTTTGCTTTGAAAAACTCACAATACTAATATTATTTTATAGGGTTGGAGAAAAACCCAGTCATGACCTGCAACTGACTGATTTCTTCAATATTGTTCAAGTCATCAGCTGCTTGCATGTATAGGACCATGTTTTAAACTGAAGATTGAATGGGACTTAAAACACTGTTTTTATAGACTCTATTTAGGATTGATCTTGGCTTGAGGAGTACAGTGCTTCTCAATTGGGTATTATAATAAATTTTATATTCTGAAGTCATGCAAAGTACGGGGCAGCATTCTTAGCTGATTTATCTAAGAGTCAAGGTCCTTTCTTGTAAAGGGTCCTATTTTTAATTAAGGTTGATGGTAATCACATTTAAATAAAAAGGGAAAGGATATGTTTTACAGTGAACAACCTCAAATATTGCTTTGTGACTTACATATGCTCCAGTATTCATTTCTGAGAGATGGAGTGGAGGGGGCAGATTCTGCTGTCTCTTATACTTGTGTACACCTGAAATAACTCCCCTAACATCAGTGCAGTTACTCTGGTGTTACTGAGAGTAGAACCAGCACCGAAAGCTCTGTTCACCTGTACACAAAGGCTTGTTTGAAACTGATGTTTTCTAAATCTTTGTCCACATCATGGGCAAAATCCTGGGCCTACCTAAGTGAACAGGAATTTTGCAAATGGTTTTAGCGGGGACAGGATTTTACCCCAGCGCTCTAACCATGGCTCATGCAGTAGATATGCATGAAAGGGCGATTTGATGAGGAATTCTGACTGGGCGGGGTAACACTAGCGTAGCTGATCCCGTATATTTTGTGCTCTCCTCTAGGCTGGCCCATGGCATCTCTTCATCCTTTCCTCATTCCCTTTGCGGGGGCTACCTCTGTTTCCAACAAGAATTTTGAGTGTGGCCCCTGTGCAATGAAGTAAGAAAAGTTTCTCTATGCAGCAGGACTGACCTCGTCCAGCCCCTGCACAAGTTGAGGGGGCCTGGGCAGAGTGTGTGTGGGGGTGTTTGGCTCAGTGCTCCCAGAAGTGGCAGGGCTTTAGGCAAAAGGGGTGGAGCTGGGGAAACCGCAACCCTCAGTACTGTCAGAAGCATGCTATGCTGCCCTCCTCGGCAGCTCTCATAGTGGTGATTTTAAATTGCTGGGCCGCAGGGCAATTACCCTTTTTGTCCCCTCTGTTGGTAGCCTGGATTCTACACCAGGGGTGGGCAATAAGCAGCCCATGGGTCAAACTCAGTTCTGCCCACAGTTCTGTCCAGACCCTTGTTTACCAGCACATCTGCAGGTATAGATGCTTGCAGCTCCCAATGCCACTTCCCTCAGCTCCCATTGGGTGGGTGATCCATGACCAATGGGAGCTTTGGGCGGCCATACCTGCAGATGCATAGGTAAATAAAAAGTCTGGCAGCCCACCAAGAGCTAACCCTGGCAAACTGCATTCGGCCCATGGGCTGTTTATTTTCCACCCTTCCTCTATGCCATACTTCTAGCAAATCATAATTTAGTCCATGTTAGGCAACAGATTTTACCCTTCTTGCTAATGAGTTTTAAAGCTTTAAGACTTTACCTGTATCATTGTAGAAATGCCACAACTGAAGGACAACAAACAATTTGCCATTGTGCAGTCTATTGGAAAATATTTTGTAATCTGACAAATTATGAAAAATGCTTTTTGATATATATACACATTACACTAGCTTTAAAGTATATTTGGCCAAAATTTTATTTACATCGGTGCAAATCTGGAGCAATTCTAATGGCATGAGTTGAATTACTAAGAATTTGCTATAGGGAAACTGAAGGCACCAGCTGACCCTTTGTCACTGACTTATGCAAACAAAATGTCTTTGAGGCATAGCCCGATGAGCAGCCAGTATCTCCCACTCCAGTGAACAGGTGTTGCAGCTTATTGGCTCATTTCAGAATTTAGGTCTTTAAAAATACAAATTATGGCTTTCATCTTGCAATGTGAGGTGTGTGGGTACACTCAGAGGCTGAGTTAGGGACCAGCCTACATTAGTCACTGCGTAGGATGAGTACCATACTCAAATGCCAGTTAGAATTAATTGCTTGCATGAAAACATTAAAAAAAATAATCTCTGGAGAGTTTAAAATCCTTGAAGATTATAAGAAAGGCCAAACTTGCAGAACTTTAATTTGAACTAGTATCTGGATGAAATATCTAGCTCAAGCACATTTCTCGATTCATGGGATAGGTCATAACTGAGTTTGGTTGAGTAAGAACTGAGTAAAAACTAAGTCAGAACCTCAGAATTAGAGCCACAGAAAATATAATATTTATAGGGCCACATTGTCAGTTGATGTAAATCAGCTTGAAGTGAATGGATTTGCGCCAGCTAAGGATCTGGCCAATAGGATATATGCAGCAGAATATCAAATTGGAATTTTCTCTAGGATGTAATTCTTAAAGCAATGTAGCTTTACTTTATGTGCATACTGTGTAAATCTCTTTTTTAATCATTCAGAATTATTTTATAGACCAGTTAGAGCAAGTTACAGGGTAAGGAAGTGCTGATATAAACACTATAGTTTGTTAAATGGCACATAAAAGGCCAGATTACATTAAAAGTGATCAAGTCCTCTGGCCATAAAGCTCAGTTCAGTTACTTTAAAAAAATCCTTCTGTATGGCACCGAGAAAAGCAATTTTCATACTGTAACTGATTTCTACCAGCAACAATGAAAGGAAGTGAACAAGATTCTTTTAGGAAATATTCAAACTTTTGGCTCAAGGGGCTGTCGCCTAATATTAAAATGGTATTAATGCATAATGGGTCATACTTTGTTATCATTTGGATAGCAGAGTCCTACTGATGTAAATAATAATTTGCATCCATAGATTTCAAAGTACTTTACTAAGATGGATAAGTGCTACAGTTCCCATTTTGCATATGGGGCAGCTGAAGCAAATTATTTAAGCACTCCATCTTGCATGTGCTGTGTGTCTCCCGGCACCTGTAGAATGCTCTAGTCAGTGGGGGTATGTCTACACTACCCCGCTAGTTCGAACTAGCGGGGTAATGTATGCATACTGCACTTGCTAATGAAGCCCGGGATTTGAATTTCCCGGGCTTCATTAGCATAAGCGGGGAGCCGCCATTTTTAAATCCCCGCTGCTTCGAACCCTGTGCAGCGCGGCTACACGGGGCTCGAACTAGGTAGTTCGGACTAGGGGGCCTATTCCGAACTACCGGTACACCTCGTTTCACCTCGTTGCACGGGGTTCGAAGCAGCGGGGATTTAAAAATGGCGGCTCCCCGCTTATGCTAATGAAGCCCGGGAAATTCAAATCCCGGGCTTCATTAGCAAGTGCGGTATGCATACATTACCCTCCTAGTTCGAACTAGGAGGGTAGTGTAGACATACCCTGGGGGACAACAGCAGTCGAGTAGGCACTCAGCATATAATAAATGGATTTGTGCTTCTGACAACGTTTTATTGTGTTACACATGACTATGGAGAGTTAGCTGACAAAATGCAGATCATGGCTGATCCAGTCATTGCAGATAAAAGCATACAATGTCCAGGATTACATCAGCTACTTGTAATTAAACCAACGACCAAACGGTCAGTCATTGCAGAGAATGGAACCCAGGTTCCCTGACTCAGCCCCGTCCTTAATCCACTATTCCAGAAATGACCCTCACTCTGAGTTCTACTGGAAAACTGAGGGCATGATGGGGCCCAGTGATTATACAGGGTTATGTGCACTATGCCTAGACTAAGTTCTGACTAGTCTATTGCTGGCGTAAAATGCTATTTTACAAAACATGTTGAAAGTTAACATGCAAAATATCTATATAATTGTGTCAATTTTTACATGGATTCTACACTTCTACTTCAAGATATTTCATGTATTAAAGTGGTCTTTGGAAAAGGTTAAAATACAGTTATTTGTTTAAAAAAATAATTATTTTAAATAATTTTAAAATTAAACTCATCATCCTAGGAATCTATTTTCCACAATAATATTTATATAAAAGAGAATTAGCCTGATTCTTCTCCCACTTACATCAGTGTAAGGCCAGATCCAAAAGCCCATTAAGACTTAGTGGGAATCTTTCCACTGACTGTGACATCAATAGACTTCGGATCAGGCACTTGATCAGAAATATATTCTATAGAGGTGAGTGGAGTTACTCTAGTATGAGCCTACCATCTGACCCTCCATGGAGTTCACTGACATAAATAACAGGAAATTCAAGCTTTATGAGTCTCTCCAGACTCCATAAACAAGAGTTTTCTGTCATCTGCATATATGAGGAAAGGATAATGATAGGATGGAGTAAGAAAAACGTGATCAATAAGTAGTGGCCATGCAAATAAGAAAAAAAAAGTGTGTGGAACTTTGGTGCCAAAATGGAAGAAAAAAATGTTTTTGGCCTCAAGAAATATGTCCATAATTTCCTGCTGTCTGCATTAACTAGAGAAAAGATGTTAGATATGGAATTGAAAAAAAACATATACAAGGAAAAATTAATTTGTGACCTTGATGCTTTGACAATTTTGGCTCATGCATGCAAAACACTGAAACTCTTTTCTCAGAAGACAGCAAGTGAAATTCATGCAGTTTCAGACAAAAGATTTCTGAATTAGGCACTTTTTTCTCTTCCCACTAGATAACAGTGTTAAGCATTTCAGCCATTAGCTTGAAAACAAGAACCATGTAATTTTTTTTCTTTAAATCCTGTTCCTCATGAGGAACTATACATGCCTTTGATGACTGATTGAATGTAGTCAACCTCATTGACTTTGAGCATCTCAGACTGGTTTTCCAAAGAGGACACCCTCAGGTAGGAAATAAAAGAGACAAAAATGATGTACTGTGTGTGTGTTTCAGAAGTCTGCTGCATAAGTATTCCTACAAAGCTCCACAGGAAATGGAAAGAAAGCCACCCAAAATGTAAACCCGCACAGAAGAGTTGAGGGAGAAGGCAACATACAGCCTTTAAAAAACCTGATCATTACTGAGTTGAACTCAGCAGTCCTTAGAAAGAGAGAGAGAAATACAGAGCATCACATAGTACTAATGGTGGTGGCATGCAGACACCAAAATTGTCAAAATTTGCAACCTGCATAATACCTTTGGTTGAATTGCTCCAACGGTTACCTTCAGAATAATGGGATAAAGTCAACAGATTGACACATGAGCCTCCTGCACCGGATCCAAAAACAGTTATTCTTAATGGGTCACCACCAAAGAACCCAATGTTTTCACTAGTCCATCGCAAAGCCTGGATGAGATCAAGGAGGCCATAGTTTCCTTTTGCTGCTTGATCCCCAGTACTCAAGAAACCTGCAAATGTAAAGAAAAAAAGGGAAAAGATTTAGCACGTGCTCCTCATATTATGCTTGTTGCACTATCATCTCCTCAGTTATGTTTGAAATGTATCTGGAGCTAAGTACTATGTAAATGCATCATTTTTAAAATATTCACTTGGCAATGATTTACCAGTGACTCATCCTTGCTACAGTAAATCCTTTGGTGTTCAGTGTAATATTAACCATGATAAATGAATGTGAGAATTATTTAGGTGTAATACAGAATAATCTGCTCATTGTTGTATAAAACTGGGACTAAGTCAGCAAGGACCCATGGCATTTCAATGTAATAAAGGGATGAGGGTAAACTCTTTGGGGAAGGAGCCATATTTTCTGTAGGTGAACAGTTCCCTTCTCGTTGTGGACACTGGTGGAATGCAACTAAAGACTGATAACAATGCATGAATTTGAATGGAACATCACATTTTATAGCCAAATGTCCAGCTTTCCAAAGTGATTATTAAAAGAATTGTCAGCTGAACTTAACACACGTCTGTTTTAGGACTGCCAACTTTCTTTTCTCACAATACCGAATATCCTTATTCCACCGTACTCCTTTACCAAGCCCCAGCCTGCACTCACTCCATCCCCCCTCCCTCTGTTGCTTGCTCTTCCCACCCTCACTAACTTCATCATTTTCACTAAGCTAGCTCAGGGAGTTGGGGTGAGAGATGGGGATGCATGTTCCAAGATGGGGCCAGAAATGAGAGATTCAGGATGTGGAAGGTGGCTCCATGCTGGGATACAGGGTCATGGTATGTGTGTGTGGGAGTGGGGGGTGAGGGCTTTGACTGGGGGTGCAGACTCTGTGTTGGAGCTGGGGATAGTGGTTTGGGGTGCAGAAGGGTGCTCTGGCATGGGGATGAAAGAGTTACAAGGATGGGAAGGGGATCAGGACATGGATAGGAGGTGGTGTGGGTTCTGGGAGAGGTATTTAGAGGGTGGGATGGTGATCAGTGCTGGGGAGGGGCTTGGTGCTTAGAGGGGCTCCACAGATGCAGGCACTATGTGGCATTTAGCTCACACAGCTCCTGGAAGCAGCAGCATGTTCCCATTTTGGCTCCTATGCAGAGGCACAACCAAGTGGCTCTGCATGCTGCCCCATCCACAGGCTCCACCCCAGCAGTTCCTACTGGATGTGGCTCCCAGCCAATGGGAGCTGCAGATCTGGCAGTTGGGGTTGGGGCAGTGTGCAGAGCCCCCTGACTACCTCTACTCAAAGGAACTGGATGGTGGACATGCCACTGCTTACAAAAGCTGTGTGGATCCACAACAGGCAAAGAGCTTGTCTCAGCTCCACTGTGCCTCTGACCTGACATTTAGGGTGCATCTAGACATCAGCGCTATTTCGGGATGTTTCCGGTATCCCAAAATAGCTATTTTGCATCTTTTATACAAGCCAGTTATTTCAAAATAGCTTTTGAAATAATGGGATCATTATTCCACGTAAACCTCGTTCCATGAAGATTAAAGGACGTTTTGGAATAGCACCGTATTTCAAAATTTGGCGCATTTCGAAGAAAGCTATTCTGAAATACACTCAAAATATGCTACACAATTTGCGTAGCTCAAATTGCGTAACTTATTTCTAGCAATGGGTGCAGCGTAGATGCACCCTTACAGCCCAGTCAGCTCTGCTGACTAGCGCCACCAGTGTTCCTTTTTGACTGGGTATTCTGGTAAAAAAAACAGACACCTGGCCACCCTACCTGCTTAGCAGCAAGTTATATGAGCATAGGAGTCAGTTGGGCACCCAGCAACCCACCTGGCATGTGTGAGTTTGGTGCATGCCAGAAGGATCACTGTTCAATTTTGCAACCCATAGATTGTGGTACAGATACTCCCTATTTTACCACATTGTCCTCCCTGCCCTGTTTTTGTCTCCCATTGGCTTTACTCCCAAAAAGATTCAATTTATGTCAGAGGGCAGGCTGGATTGTACAACCTACGTGACTCTCCTACTCCCTGAGCACCAACCCGCATCCATTAACCTGGGTTAACTGAGTTGGCATTAAAGGATACACAAGGCAATTTGAGCTGCTCTAGTAACTCTCTAAGCATTAAATAGATAGGAGCTTAGATGTAAACCAGGAAGCACATGACTTGTGCCCTTATAGTCAGATTGGGGATTGTATTAGGTGAAGAAATGAGTCCTTTTCCTGTAGTCAGCAAAGGTTTAAATATCAGCATTTTAAAGAAAACCAAACGTCTCCACTTGTCTATGAAACTGATTTCACACACACAAAATGCACAATGTAACAGCCTTTCAACAAGCATCATATAGAGAAGTACCACCACCAAAGCATTTATTTTCACATAAACTAGATATTAGTGGGTTCTCTGTTCTACTGAAATTTACAGTAATTTAGCTGTCTTTTGATGCAGAGATCACCATGCTAAACAAAAAAGTTCACAATTTCACAGTAGTTTTCCAGAAGAAAGCATACAACAATTTTCTCATCAGACTCAGGGTAACATTTACAGCAATACCTGGAACTTAAATTCAGAATAAAAACTGCGTATGATATTGATGGGGAAGGAAGAAAAGAAATTCATTATTTTAGCTTCTAGTTACTATGTCCTTTTAAAAAATATCCCTTTTGTTATCCAAAATACCAGGGCATAAGCAGGGAAAAGCTGAGTTTACGGACTCTGTTGCATGAATTGAGAGAGATGACCATTAACTCTAGAAGACAGCAGGACAGTGACTGCAGAAAAACAGAACAAAACGTTTAGGAAGAGCTGACAGAGGAGGATCAAGCTTTATTGTAATTGATGCCCCTTTCCAGTGAGAAATACCGGTAGATACAAATCAAGAGAAAAAAGGTTTCTGAATATTTCTTATCTCAATGCATAGCAACATGAAGACCACAATTTCAAGCATGGCGATAAAAGGGCTTGAGCTAACACTCACTGAAGTCAGTTAAAAGACCCCAACTGACTTCAATGGCACTGGAACTGGTCCCGAGTTAGGCACCTAAATACTAGTGTTCTGATGTACAGAAGGGATGAGCACATTCAACTCTGAAAGCAGTGAATTTGAGCTGGTCTGCCCAGCTTCTCAGAAAAACAGATCACTTTTCTCTATAATGTGCCAAATTTTAGGCACCCAAGTGTGAACTCTGAACCCGGAAGGGTGTGGCAAGATATTTGATTCAGAGTTCTACACCTGCCTGGCTTCTACTGAGAAAAAACTCAGATAAGTATTGATCAAAATGTTGATATTTATCTGCAGCCAAAGAACATTTGCCCAGCATGAATTGTCGGAGGCAGTGACAAGATAAGAAGGTCACATTCCAGCTTCTAGTTCTCCCATATCCCTTTGGACATTCAGCTACTGCTCTTTGTCTCTTTATGCTCAGTTCCTTTTTGGCACTTTGCCTCCCTCCATCTCTCCCTTCCTCCCTTTCACTTCTGTTCCTCTCTCACTAACCTTCCCAATAGCAGCTCCACTTCTTCTCAGAAGGAAAGTCAGACACTGCATCTTTTGAGATCTGCATGTGTATAATACACTGGTCAGAAGTCCCTTTTGTGCTCTATCCACAGATGTGAATGAGTTATACACCCCTCAGCTACAGAATATGTTTCTTAACTCAAGTTGGGGAGCGTCATACTTTTGCTCTACTGTTCCCCAATCAAATCCCACGTGGGCAGAGAATGGCTACAGAATTTGGCTCATTCCTTAAGTCTGTCCTTTAAAAATTGTATTGCAGTGATCACCAACCAGTCGATCGGGATCTACCGGTAGATCTTGGAGCCTCTGACAGGTGATCCTGACTGGTTTGGCCAAGAGACTACCATCAAGGGAAAGGAACTTCCGTTGCCCCTCTCCCCACTGTTGCGCTTCTCCTGCCCTTTGCTTTGGAGCTGTCCCCTCAGAAGCCTCCTGATTGCTGTGCAGGGAAGGAAGAGGGGGGTGCTGATGTCAAGGTGTCCCTCCCACTTTGTATCCTTTCTCCACAGAGCAGAGAGGGGGCACCACAGGGCTTAGGATGGAATTTGCTGACTGCTTTTGGGAGTGGTGCAGGGCCAGGGCCAGGCCAGGGATGTGTCTGCCTTAGCCTCACTGCACCACCACCCAGGAGCCACTTGAGGTAAGCAGGGCCCAGCTGGAGCCCACATCCCAAATCCTACCCCAGTCATGAACCCTCCTCCTGTGCCCCAAGCCCCTGCCCTAGCCCGAGCACCCCTGCATCCAAACACCCTCCCAGAGCCTGCACCTAGAACCCCCTCTGGCACCCCAACGGTCTGCCCCAAGCTCAGCTCAGAGCCCCTCTCACATTCCAAATCCCTTAATCCAAGACCCGAGCCTGCACCCCGACCCTCTGTTTCAGTTTGGTGATAGTGAGGAAGGATGGGGGAGGCAGGGAGGATGGAGTGAGCAGAGGGCAAGTCCTCAGAAGAGGGGCACAAAGGAGGCGGGGCAAGAGCATTTGAGTGTGAGGTAGATCTTGGATTACACTTAAATTCAAAATACGATCTTGTGCTTAAAAAGGCTGAAGACCACTGCTTTATTGTGATACTATCAACAAACTTTGTTTAAGAGAGATGGGTATAACTGTGAGTTTGAAGATGCAGATCTTCACCTGCTAGACATGCAAGCAGATTCAATTATATAAACTTGCTAGAGCAGGGGTGGCCAATCTAAACCCGAAAAGGAGCCAGAATTTACCAATGCACATTGCCAAAGAGCAACAGTTCTATGTCATCAGCCCTGATCATCTCCCTACCACCACTCTCAGCACATCCCGCTCACTGGCAGCCCCAATGGTCAGTGCCTCCTTCTCCCTTTCCTCCTGCCCACTGTGATCAGCTCCGTCTCAGTGGGAGACATCGGGGGGGGGAAGCATAGGTGTGACAGGCTCAGTGGAGAAGGTAGGAAGTGGCAGGATCCTAAGTAGACAATGCCTAGGGCAGAGCTGGGGGTTGAACAGTGAGCACCCTCTGGCCCAGTGGAAAGTTGGCACCTGTAGGTCCAGCCCTGGATTTATACCTATGTAAGGAGCTGCATATTAACTTCTGAAGAGCCGCATGTGGCTCTCAAGCCACAGGTCACCCCTGTTCTAGAGGGAAGCAGTCCATTATTTTTCAGTTTATTTATAGAATGCAAAACAAAACTGTTTAGACCAGATTTAATTACCCAGAAAAGGAAACAACATTTAATTCTAATTGGAGTAGATAATCAAATGGAGATGCTCTGTCTCTGTTGCTTTTTCCATAACGTGGGATGAAAATTGTAAGATCATAGAATCATAGACTGGAATCTCAGGAGGTCATCGCATCCAATTCCCTGCTAAAAGCAGGACCAATCCCAACTAAATCATTCCAGCCAGGGCTTTGTCAAGCTGGGACTTAAAAACCTCCAGGGATAGAGATTCCACTATCTCCCTAGGTAACCCATTCCAGGGTTTCTCCACCCTCCCAGTGAGACTGCTTTTCTTAAAATCCAACCTACATCTCCCCCACTGCAACTTGAGACCACTGCTCCTTGTTCTATCATCTGTCTGAGAACAGCTTCTCTCCATCCTCTTTGGACCCCACCTCCTTCAGGTAGTTGATGGCTACTATCAAATCCCGCTCAATCTTTTCTTCTATAGACTAAATAAGCACAAATCCTTCAGCCTCTCCTAATAAGTCATGTGTTCCAGTCCCCTAATTATTTTTGTTGACCTCTGCCGAATTCTCTCCAGTGTGTCCACATCCTTTCTGTAATGGAGTGGTGGGCTCAAAAAATTAGAAGCAATACTCCAGATGTGACCTCACCAGTGCCAAATAAAGGGGAGTAATTGCTTCCCTAGTTCTGGCACTGCTCCTACTAAGGTACCCCACTATGCCGTTAGCCTTCTTGGCTACAAGAGCACACTATTGACTCATATTCACCTTCCCATCCACTGTAATCTCCAGGTCCTTTTCTACAGGACTCACACTTGTCCTTGCTGAACCTCATCAGATTTCTTTTGGGCTAATCCTCCAATTTGTCTGGGATGCTCTGGACCCTATCCCTACCCTCCAGTGTATTTACCTCTCCCCCCAAGCTTAGTGTCATCTGAAAACTTGCTGACGGTACAGTCCATCCCCTCATCCAGGTCATTAATAAAACTAAACCAGACCCATATATTTAAAATATAAGAGGAAAATAATTATCAGACTAAATTCTGTGCAGTGCACCACAGTAAATTTGCAGTTACACAACTGTGACTTCAGGACTGGGGACTGAAGGCAGACTTTGGCTAACTATACCTAACTGACGTGTTCTGTTTGGTAAGATAATGCCTAACCACTATTTTTCATTTGTATTACTAAAATTCTGCAATACACACATATTTATAATACACATGACTATTGTTTATTTCCCTAGTCTTTTATTTTGACTTCAGATGACTAGCACTAATTTAGGATTCAGTCAAATGTCCTCACATTCATTCTAACAGATTTTCCCTGACTGAAAGAGAGAGCTAAGCTATGCTACATTTAGAGCTACATTTTGTTTGTTTTAGGTCAGTGCTGATCTTTATTGCCTAGGGAGGGAACAGACTAGTAGTGTAAAGTGCTAGGCCAGCAGTTCTCCAGCGTTAAGACCTAATATACCATATCTAATTGGCATATTTTGTTCAGTGTCATTATAATGGATTCCAATTCTCACATTACACTTTAAATCAACCTGCATTCCATATTTTGAAAACCATCATGCTTAGAACATTCAGCTGCATAACTCAGCAGAACATTGCTAGGTGCCAAGAAAGGGCAAAGATAATCTAGGACACTTTAGATACTCCTGGAGAGGCACTGGGAGGGAGAAATGATTCATATTAATCCATTCTTGTGTTGGGCTATAAGTAACTCATTACAATTCTGTGTAGGTTGCTGGAGGGCACAGGAGCTGGTGCCTGACACCTTCCTATTTCCACAGCAGCAGAGGTGCCAAACTGAACCAGCGACTAAGTCTCAATGCAAACTGCCCACACACACCAGCAAAATTTTGGCCCCTGCAAATTTTCTTTAGGAATACTGAGGCATGATGTAAATTAATATGGTAAGGAAAAAAGGCCCACAAAGGCTTGTGACTATCTGAGCTTTCTTTGTAACCTGTGTAGAGTTTAAAACAAAGAAGACATTAGAGTACCAGTGGCTTTAAGGAAATGTAATTCCCATATTTAAGGAAATTATAGAACTGAGGTTTATACTACAGAGTTTTTCTGGGATTCCGGAGGTATCCCAGAAAAACTCTGCCGTGTCCAGGGAATGCGTCTGCTCATCTGAATTTTTTTTCAGGAGAGCAAACATGCTTTCTCAGCATCCCTGTCAACCTCGTTTTAAGGGGAAGAAGGGATGTTCTGAAAAAGAGTTTTTTTTCTAGAAATTTGGCTAGGATTGCCAGGTGTCCGGTTTTGAACCTGACAGTCCAGTATTTGAGCTTTCTGTCTGGGAAACAAATTGAGAAAATACCGGACATAGAAATGTCCAGAATTCTCTTAATAAGTAAGTTTTATTATTATGAGTATCAGTATGTAGTTGCATACTGCCTGGCTAGCAGACACACTCACACTGCATGAGTCACGCTGCGTGTGCTTGTTTGTCTACCAGCCAGGCAGTACACAACTACGCAGTAGAAAGGAGGGAAGAGGGGAGCGGGGTCGGGGCCAGAATGGAATCCCCGGGGCTGAACTCGCTTGTGCGCCTCGCCGGGACCGTGTGCAGGATGGGCAGCAGCCCGGGATCTGTGTGCGCCTGGGCCAGCTCCGCTCCCCGCCGACTGATTCTCTACCACTGCTCTCCCTCCCACACCAGTCTTGCTCCCCTCAACTCCCTCCCGGAAAGCTCTACTTCCCGTTGGCTGGTTTCCCCCGCACCCTCGATATCCCCCGGCCAGCCCCACTCCTCCCAGCCAGCCTTGCTTCCCGCCGGCCGGTTCTTCCCCCGGACAATTCCACTCTCCCTGACCTCCTCCTGCCCAGCCCCAATCCCCTCCCGGCTGGTTCCCCCCATCTGATATCGTGTGTCTGGTTTTTTTTAAGACAGTGCAGATGGGCCAAATGTTGGAAAAGCCTTTTTTGAAAAAAGAAGAGGAAAAAGCTATACAAATTGTGGTTTGCAATTTGCGTAGCTTTTTCCGGAAGATCAGTGCAGTGTAGACATAGCCTGAGTGTGCCAGAAAGTTGTTCCTAAACCATCTTTTGACCGTCCAGTTAACGACCTGTCAGTCTGGAGTACAGGAATGACTGCGGTATAAGGAGTATAGGTATGACTGCCATAGGCAGTTGAAGAAAATTGTTGATGCCTGCAACCCAACATAATTTGACTAGAGTATGGGCTGAAGAGTGGGGCTGAGAATGAGAGCTTTGCAGTGGAGGAGGGGGCTGTGGCTTTGGGGGGTGTCAGCGCTGTGGTAGGAGGGGCTTACCTTAACTGGCTCCTGTACAGTAGGATAAAAAAGCAAGCTTCATGCTTCTCCTGGCATCACAGAGCATGCCATGACCCAGAAGCAACCAGCAGTGGGTTCCCAGCCAATGAAAGTGTGATGCTAGTGCTCAGGGTAGGGGCAGTGAAAGGAGCCCTGTGCACTCACCTCTTCCCCCACCAAGGAGCAAGGCCTGTTGTTGACTGCTTCTAGGGCACTGCATGGTCTGCGGTACCAGAATAGGCAGGTAGCCTGCATTAGCACCTCCACTGATTGCCTGATCCTCCTGCAGCAACGAGCCTGACATTGCATGACCCAGTGAAAACCACTGCCACAGGCTATGGGGATCAAAGGCAAACTGAATGAATGCCAGAAACTTTGGGACAAGAAAGCAGTTATGGTCACTGTCTACACGGCAGTTCATTGCATGTGTTTCCCCACTGGCGTGCGTATGGGGTGTGCCGGGTGTGCCCAGGCACACCCTAATGTCTTAGGGTTGCCAGGTCTCTGGTCTTCTACCGGACAGTCTGTTTTTTTGGGGCCCTGTCCGGTAAAAAAAAAATCCAGAAAATACCGGACATGTGCAATGTCCGGTATTTTCTGGTTTTCCAACTGGGTGCCCGGAAGCCTGGTGGGGGGAGTGGCTGGGAGGTTGGGTGCGATCAGCGCTGGGAGCCCTGGTTGAATGTGAGGAGGAGGGGCAGCTCGGTCTGTGTTCCTGTGCGCTGGTCAAGTGTGTGGGGGAGCTGCAGCTGGACTGACTCGTGCTTCGCCTGGACCATGCGGGGGGCGGGAGCGCCCTGGGATCTGCACTGCCCGGATCAGTCCCGCTCCCCATGGGCTGATACACTCCTCCCCCACGACCCCTCCTGGCTGGCTAGCTGGTTGGTTCTCCCCCACTTCTCCGCCTGATCTTCCCCGGTCAGCCCCCCTGCACCCCCCGCCAGGGCTG